CATGTTTTTCAGCCACACACAAGCCACCGCAGAACTGCAAACTGAAAGAGAAGTGATGGAAACTTAGTAACAGGGGCCAAAAGTTAAAGTTCAGGCACATGTGGTAGCTACCAGGCCAACAATTCCACCACAGGGCCCTTGGAGGAAGAGACTGTGTCCATGTGGCTGACTGCATGGCAGGTAATGGCAGCTGTGCTCCAACTTCTCTGCCAGAGGGCTGGCAGGTTTCTGTGGTGTTAATTGTTAAGAGGCAGACACATTTCAGAAAGATTAAAATGTAGGCAGGTGGGGGGTGTTGTTAGACAGGATATATATAGATAGAGAGAACACAATGAAATGAACAGTTAATTTGTCCACAGAGCAATACAGAGGGCTCAGTTAAGTCACTTCCGTGAGATAGTTAATATACTGGCAGTCCTTTACCTCACAAGTCAAGGAAGCAGAGAACTGAGTCTTCTTTAGAGCAATACAGGCAGTCCGGCCACAGGCAGCAAACAGCTGGGCAGGTCACTAACAGTCAGATGACAGGGTCCGACAGTCCCCAGCTTAAGCAGTGTGGCAAAGCTGGTCTCAAAGGAACCTTAAACTATAGCAACATGGCCCATGAGTTGGGTGTCCCAAGGGTATTGTAGCTCACAAGTTGAGGCAGAGACTAGCTAAGTCACACTTGTTCCACCATCAGAGAGCAAAAGACATAAAGGAAAGGCTGGCTGAGCCATTTATGTCTTTTGCCTTCCATTTAAATGAACAATTCTGGCTGAGATAGAAAAACAATTTAAGGGAAAGTTCGGGTCATTCCCAAAATTGGTTGGTTGGGGAAGTTGGAGACCTGGGCCCAGAAAGGGGTTAGGAAGCTGCTGCCAGTAGACTTTCAACTCAGCTGTCACCACCGTGAATCAGCTCCTGTTTTCCCTGTATCTTTCTTCATTTCAAGGCTTGGCACCCCACTCACAGGGGAAGAGCTGATTGCCTGGTTCTACTTCCCCTGTTATATCCCATCCCACTTAGGAGGGGGAGGAAGGGCCTGTGGGCTACACTTCCAGCTTTTATTGCCCCTAAAGTACCCCCAAACTGGAAGACTGCTCAGTAAAAACCAACGCATGTCCACCCCCGTGTACATCCCAGATGCAGCGTTACGGAACTTCCAGCTGCCCAGTTTGGGTAACTGGAAACCAAGGGAGACAATGGGAGAGAGTGGTCAGATCAGAGTAATGAGTCAGTTGTCCTTCCTGGACAAGCAAGACCACATGCAGGTCCTTCTGGTGTTTGGTTCCAGGGCGGGCAGCCTTCCAGGTCCCCAAGGACAGCACAGTCACCCCTCTGTGGGGTCTCTCCACCTGTGATCTGGGGCATAAGGCGGTCTCAGTGACAGTGGCACCTCCTGTTGCTGGGGAGGCAGTTTGTACCAGACTCACAGGGACAAGACACAGTGAAACCCTGCCCCTCAATCTTAATGTTCTGCTGCGTGAGTCATTGAGCAGGGCTTGCACTTTCCTCTGTTCTAAACTGGCTCCTGACAGCTACGAAAATAAACACCGGCCCACATCCCAAGAACTGCCTGTGTCCTCTGCATCCCCAGGAAACCGGGGTGCACCCACAAGACAAAGTCAGACCATGAAATACATAAGCAGGGCATGTCCAGAGGCACTGGGGGATAAATACCACACCACACTCAGGCAGCGGTTTCCGCTGGGGCAGAGGGATTGTGTGTCAGACCAGATGGACTAGAGAAACAAATTCATAGATACTCATGTGTATAAGAAAGCTTTATAGAAAGAGTAATTGTATATTAAGAAAACATCTCAGCCCAGTCCAGATCAAGTCCATAAGTCCAATATTAGCCTATATGTTCGCTACCAGGTTGTAAATTCCTCTTCAGACTCACACAACAGATGTAGTGATGCCAAAGGCCGGAAGATCACAGGCCAGTGGGTGAAAAGTCTTGTGGATCCAGTGGTGGTGGAAGCATCTCAGCGCTGCTGTGGGTCTCCACATGGCTCCTCCAGCTCCAGGGCTCTGGCTCCATCAGCATAGCGTCATGTGTCATCAACAGGAATGTCTCCCAGGGAGTCTTTGTGTCCTGCCTCCAGCAAGCTGTTTATCTCCTTAGCGCCTCCAAATGAGATCATCAAGCTGTGACCTGATTGACATGCTAAATTCCATCCTTTCACGCTTAATAGTCTCAAGTCGACAACCACTAATATAACTGCCCATGGGTCCCCAGGATTTCAGCACTTGTGAACGTTTTGTTTTCTTTTTAAAAATATATCTGACTCCAGTGCTCTCATCCAACCACTCTCCTTATACCTCTTCTGCAGAAACTTCAGCCCTTTCATGAGCTCTGGCAATGTAGTGGGTTACAGGTTGTGCTGCTAACCACTAGGTCAGCAGTTCAAAACCACCAGCCTCTGCTCGGGAGAAAGACAATGTTTTCTAGTCCTGTTAAGAGTTACAGCCACAGAAACCCACAGGGGCAGCTCGGCCCCATCCTGTAGG